TGCCCCCCCTGGGATTTGAGGTGCAAAAAAAATAATCGCAAAGGTAAAAAAAATAATTGCAAAGTTGGTATCAATTATGTGAGAAAATGCACTCATGGCCACTAGATAATCATTCAACAATTTGTTTACAAAGGTGTACTGTTTTTAGCCAACTCAGTTCATGCCAAAAAGTCCAATATTGGCGTGTTGTGTTGAAAAAATGACTATAGGCTACCTATGGCAAAATGAACCCACAATTTCTGACTTCTGATTGAGCAATAAATAACAGTTAAAATGCACCAGAATGCAGTATTATACAAACAGTGGGAGGGGGACACCCCCTCCCCCCTCGGGGCCTTCGCCCCCTTCTGTCCGCCTACTGCCCCCCCTGGCATTTTGCTCAGGCTACGGCCCTGTCCCGTGTTATTTTACCAAAAGAATTACATAAAAGGATATAAAAAAACTGTCGCTTGGTAAAATTTACAATGTGACTTCTTGTCATTACAGGTCGTGTGCTCAATACTTTACATTGAAACTTAAAAAACTAAAAATGTTAATCTAAATATGTTAAAGCTCTAATACGTACGTATGGGATGCCAAACAAGTTGAACTCCAGCATTCCTAGAAATAAATGTAAACGATGAAAGTCACCAAGTAAGAACCGGCGAAAGGTTACATGGCGGTCTTCGAAAACTGCACCTCTGTAAGACAATATTCAACTCCAAAGATAAAGGATAAAACAATGGAACCTCTTTGAAGTAGCAGCGCGTTATCACAATGCGCTTAACATGACAGACTTCAACTAAAACTTTAGTGATACGAACAAGAAATAGGGCCAAATTCAGTTGTAAAGTTCATATTCAAGTACTCATATCAAAATTCATATAATGTAAGAAACCCTCGAAATCTCCGTCGCCGTCAGGCCCCAGAAATGTTAAATCATCTGAGAGAAGACCTTACTTCAAAGCGTTCTGCTTCATATTCGTATCCAGTATAATTATCAAATTTCTCAATCAAGTACGACCCTCCGCTAACCTATGATAGACTCGTGTAGGTGGGGCCACCTGCTGTCGTTGTCTCCAAGCCAATGCCCAGCGTGTCTGCCACTGCCTGGGTACGTAGATCTACTGATGACCATACCGCGCTTGCCAGGCACGGCTGCCCTCAGAGCGCTGAATGGAAAACAAACGCGTGTCAGCATTTGTACTAACTTCTGTCACATATACAAACACAGTGGAGGCATTATCGTTAAAAGCAACAGTTAGGCCTAGTGTGTTGTTAAGATCTTCTGCTGTTAAGCGACCTGTTTTTTACCGATAAGCGACCTGTTTTTTACCGATAAGCGACCTGTTTTTCAAGCAAACGCAACAATTGATGTTGATTATGACTTTCTTGTGATTATAAACTATTAACAAAGATTCTCTCTCTTTTTTACCTCTTTTTAACCTGTCATTATTTTTCTTTATTTTTTGTTATTCATTGCAATTTCTGGCTTTCTTAAAACGTAAGGTTCTGGTATGGAAGTAAAGCAAAGGCATTGGTATTTGATTTTTTTATGCGCAAAATCTCTTCTGCTGTCTGCAGTGTTAGATGTCTTGTTCTGCTGTCTTAGGTATCTTACTTTAGCGTAGGTTCTGTTTGGCTCCATCCATACAAACTGTGAACATTATAGTGAAGTTGTTGACCATCTTCTTGCTCAGCAATCATACAGAGTGTGTTATCAGACAATCTGGCTTCCCTACTTTCGCTATCATAGGTATATGCAGCCTCTGGAAAATTTGCCATTCTTTTGAAACCACATATCGCGTGATCGTTCTATTTCAAGATATACGCAACCTTTTAGATTGAAATTTAAAACATATTTTTACATAAAATTGCACCTATGTGTAAAATTAGAGAGCTTTAGCCATCATAATTTTTCTACAATGTCCATTTAAATTTGATAATAAGCCATTTTCTGTCGATTTCTTGAAGGGTGAGTCAATACGACAACACGGCCATGAAATCACTGAAGTAATATAAGAAATAATTTCCTAAATTCTGGATCGTTTTCAGAGCGACAAAGGCGAGCGCAAGTTTTTGCTCGAGTAAGATACATTATACTCTAAAGAGATTCAAATGCATAACCTTAAATCGCATATTAAAAAATAAAATGTAATTTTCAAACAAACAAAGAGACCTGAACACAGAAAAAATACTGACACTTTTTTCTTTGAAGCAAGATTAACAGAAATATATCTTGTTTTCCCCCAAATAATTTTCACAGAATAATCTTACTGGTTCTGTACGGCGGGTCATCGTAATTGTTCTCAGGGCATTTCAATGACCAGTAGGAGGACAGACCCTCCGGCCAGTTCCAGATCTTTTCTAGGTTGGTGCCGAAATTAGCAGGTTCGTTCATATCCTTTAAAAAGTAAAACATAAAAAGTTGGACTGTATCCTTACGTTAAGACGGTTCATTGATTGGTATGTTTTCATAACGTTATGCAGTGCCATAATGTTTAAAGTGCTTGGAGGAGGGGGGATAAATCCAGTTCGAAAGATACTATATATGTGCCTACAAAACTTCAGAAATCGCCGTCATAATTTTTCAAGTGCGAACACTGCATGACGGTTACCCTCATGCTAACTGAGATCATTGCCGCATTTTTAAAAATCTTTCTTTGAGGTCAAATTTGGTGCGAACGATTAATTAAACCAAAACCATCAACATAAACTAAATTATTTAAATGTCAATTACTCACAATCCATAACCCGTCAAATGTTAGGGTTTTGACGTGTTTTACAGTGAGATTTCTCCAAAAATCGGCCGTCCTGTTCAGGAAAAAATCTGGAAACACTGCTTTCCCTGAAGGCCACACCTTTTAAAAATATAATATAATATAATATAATATAATATAATATAATATAATATAATATAATGGCATTTAAAACAATATAATAATAAGAAATCTTTATGTACAAAACCATTAGGTACCACATATAGACAACAGAAGACTGGTCATTGTTGAAGTGGAATTCTGCTAAACATTGTGAATGCAATTTTCTATGTTCCATGTTACTGGCTGCAGAAAACATAATCCACTGTGTATTAGGTGTAGTTAACATATGCGACAAACACCAAAATGTGAACAGATGACGCCATTTTCTTTCTTTGACTCTTTCTTATTGGCAACTCGTGGATATTAGAAACACTGACCCATCCATGCATATTCCGTGTGCCGCTGATATCAGGTTTATCTGTGTCAGGTATCACGCTCTCATTCGGCCACTTGATGTACAAGTCTTCCTGGAGGCCCAGATCATAGGGCTCGTAGTTCGTGTTGTTTGTGATTAACGCAGGATCCTGAATAAAAGATGAGGCGTATGCAGCATAGGGGTAGAAGACAAAGGTTGAGTTTATGGCTTGGTAGACTCTATACTACTAGTGCTCTATACCAAAGGCCAGTGATGACATGAATTCCGTACAAAAGTTCTCGTTTACAGTACAGAACGATGTATCTAATTAGCCAGAGATATATTTGAGGACATCTAATGAAAAGAGTCCTGATAGAGGGTGCTAAAAGGGTGCTTTTTATTTTCAAGTGATATACAGGGAAAGCTACCAAAATTATAATGATGTGCATGCCGTTGTCTTGCAGGTGCGTGAAGTAGTCCTGAAGTCCAGCGAAATTGACCGGGTCCACGGTGAAGTCTTTCCTCTCGTCCATGTGGTCAATATCAGCATACTGGACGTCCTGTTTGAAAATTTACAGAACCAAGTGGCATGAATGGACACAGACATGAACAATAAGGCACTTTCTATTAATACCCAAACACAAATAGGTATGCCATATTATTTATGTCGGTTTAGATCAAGGAGACATAAACACAAAAACGCATTGAACTATCTCAGTAACAACTGACTAAAGTTGAATTTGCCAGGCAAGTTTTGGGCATTTGGTCAAACACTTTAGGGAGTTCATGATTAGGCACACTTACTGACTTACTGAATATGCTACATTACCTGCGGAATATTATATTCTCGTGTCCTGTTAACAGCTGCTTGGAGATTAGTTAAATTCTTATAACCATACTGACACAGCTGGAACCCCAGGCTCCAATATGGCGGCATGTATGGCCTGCCGATCACCTGGAAAAATAAACAAGAGAGCAAAGCTGTCAAATGAACAGACAAAAAAAACAAAAAAAAAACAGAAAATAACGATGCTGAAGGTATGGCCTGCCGATCTCCCGGAAAATAGAAAACGCATTTCCGGAACATTGTTCTTACCGGGACTAACATTTTTCTTAAAACATGGATTGATTGGAAGAATTAGATTTATTTTCAACTCTTAATTTCTTGTGTGAATTAACTACTTTTAAGAAAACTCAAAATTAGATAAATAAATATGCCTGAAATAAACAAATCAATAAATAAAGCCAGTAGTCTCCCTCCTACCTCTGTGTATTGCTGTATCACATTTTCTGGGGAAGGTCCGAAGAACATGTAGAAGTCTAGTATGCCTCCAATAGTTCTGTACGTAAGCATTGGAGCAGAGGTGAAACTATAGTCTGAAAAGACGGGGTGCTACTTGTATTAGATATTATGGTGGTTCAAGCTGTATAGTTAGTGAAATAGAAAGGTTTGTGCAAATTCTGGTAAAGAAATTTACAAACAGCTCTAATCTAGTTTGTTATAAAAGTAGAATATTGACGCCTCTCTCTCTCTCTCAACTCATATCTTCAATACCCACCCATAGCGTTACTATNAAAAAAAAAAAAAAAAAAAAAAAAAAAAAAAAAAAAACAGAAAATAACGATGCTGAAGGTATGGCCTGCCGATCTCCCGGAAAATAGAAAACGCATTTCCGGAACATTGTTCTTACCGGGACTAACATTTTACTTAAAACATGGATTGATTGGAAGAATTACATTTATTTTCAACTCTTATTTTCTTGTGTGAATTAACTACTTTTAAGAAAACGAAAAGAAAATTTTGATTTTGGAAAACTCAAAATTAGATAAATAAATATGCCTGAAATAAACAAATCAATAAATAAAGCCAGTAGTCTCCCTCCTACCTCTGTGTATTGCTGTATCACATTTTCTGGGGAAGGTCCAAAGAACATGTAGAAGTCTAGTATGCCTCCAATAGTTCTGTACGTAAGCATTGGAGCAGAGGTGAAACTATAGTCTGAAAAGACGGGGTGCTACTTGTATTAGATATTATGGTGGTTCAAGCTGTATAGTTAGTGAAACAGAAAGGTTTGTGCAAATTCTGGTAAAGAAATTTACAAACAGCTCTAATCTAGTTTGTTATAAAAGTAGAATATTGACGCCTCTCTCTCTCTCAACTCATATCTTCAATACCCACCCATAGCGTTACTG